CTGACAACTCTAAATTCTGTTTCTACACCCCTATTATCACAATTAAAACTACCAACAGTACATTAGTTCCTAACAAGACTTCTTGTCCACAGGTTCAACAGAGTGGGAGGGAGCTGAACAAACCAGGATAACATTTACCCACACACCCATGAAAATGATTTCTCAGAAGCAAAACACCCTGAGAAGGAATTTGGAGAACTAGAAGAAATCAAGGTGAGTGCTGCTACTCATGTTAAGTGTATTTTCAAAAAGTTGAAAATTATTTCATTTCATTGAAAACTAAAACATTTTTTAAAATATGCAATCTAAAAATAAATACAGTTTAAATATTTAATGTTATCTTTTTTAGGTAAACATTCACTTGACCCTGGAAAGCATCAACAGGAACAGGAAGTTCTGTTTCTGGAGTAGCTATTATGGTATGATAATGGAATTTGGCTCCTTTAAAATCAACAAATGAGTCTTACAATTAGGTGAAACTCTTTTAGGAAATTCAACTATTTTCGGCAGGAGCACTATTGTTGCAGTTTTCATCAAAGAGCTTTCACTGGCCCCTAATTCAGTTATTTGATCTTTTTTTAACGATGTAACAGTTTGAAGGGTGACTGAGAAAAGCAAGCTGAAATCTGGGACAAGGACACAGTGTCATAATTAAATCGAGAAGATTCTTTTACTGCTTAACCTTATATTCAAAAGAATAACTATCAAGAGAACGCCACTTAAACCACAAACGGTCTAGCAAATTCACCAGCCACCCCGGCAACACACAGTCCCGCACAAGGCGCACAGAGCCTCACAATCCACCTGCCATGCTCGCGCCACACCATTCGCTTGGGGTTTGTACGCCTTAAATGCAAATGTTTGGGGAAGAAAAAATGCTAATAATGCAATAATTAAAATACATAAAAGCCCCATGATTTTCCCTCACTTTTTTAAAGCTCCTTGATATTGTCCCCAGCGAGCGTCTGTGATTTACTGGTAACTTCAACATTCTGGAAAATTATTTGATAAACACTGCGCAGGAAAATACTTGAGAGATCAAGTTCATACATCATCACGCAGCAGTCTCATAAGGAAGTTCAAAAACAGAAATTCCTAGAGCGTCTAGAGAACCAAGGGCAGGAGTGAAACGGCCGCCGACCTCCCCCCAGGCCGCCGCCCTCGGGTCCCGGCCGCGCAC